TAATAGATATAGTATATATAATAGAAATGATAGAAATGATAGATCTAATAGAAATGTAATATCTATAATATCTGTAAGATTTCTGGCACAATAATTTGAGCCAATCAGAATCAAGTCACATGTACTAGAATTAGTGTTTTCATCAAAATCGTCCTGATCTCATGATCTCGTGATCAGAATCACATGATCTTGTGCTCATTAGAATCATCTCAGTGAGCTGAATTCAATGGTGGTTTTTTTCATCCAAATTGGTTTGGTACATCAAAAGTTATGGTCAAAAATATATAAAACTCTTAATGTTAATACTGGATATGCAAAAAACTGAGGTCAACAGGATATTTCTCGAATGTTTAGATCACTAGAAAAGAATGGGGAGCAGGCTAAGCAACTTCTTACTTGGATTCAGGATAATATTTGTTCTGAATAGTTAAAGGATCCAGAAAAACTTGAATCTACATACTTAAGTACATTTCTGAAAAAAGACAAATTTATTCCTAAAAGTGGTGAACCATTACTTCCTAGCTCTTTATGCAAATTAGGGGCAGTATTTGCTTCTGTAACACATGGGCCTAAAAATGCATCAAAGGCTAATACTTATGCCAGTGAGACATTAAGACATAGTTCCGACAACCACACTTCTCTATCTAAAAGATATACTATAGTCAATATGCAAAGAAGAGGTAAACTATATAATCAAGCAGAGGCATTCAAGCTCTTCGATGAAAACTGATCATATAGAGGGTTAGGTATTAATTATTAATTTTATTTTTTCACTCAAAAGAATATATATCATATATAAAATAATACAAAAATGACCAGAATAGAAATAACTGAAAAGCATTCATCTAACAACAAGTACGATACATCTGGCAAATAAGAAGTTATTAGATATAGAAAGTTAGTAACTTAAATATTTGGACTAGAAAAGATAATAAAAAAATTGGAGAGAGATGTAACATTTCTAGAGGCTGAATTAGAAGATTTAAATAATTGTGTGGACAAGAGCACTGTGGTTGACTTAATACATGAAATAGTTCTCACGTGCATTAATGAAAAAGGTAAGAGTTCCTTTTATTCATCTGATTCATCTGATTCATCTGAAGAATCTGATTCTGTTGAGATAATTGAGATAAGAGAACAAAAGGCTGTTTCTTATAAGCAATGAAGAAAGGTACGACCAAAAAAGATTAAGATAAAGAAAGCTATTAGCAGTTCAAAGTAGTGATCGCTAGTTATCCATCGTTTTCTTAATACTATTCTTGAGATCACAATTGAGAGATATATTTTTATATTAATATTTTTTTTTTTATAAATTGGCAGTATCAAAGTGAAATAAAAATTTTGTCTTCTTATGATTAAATTACTCGAAGCCAGATATATCAGTAGTCTGGATATATTAATAACCTAGATCATTTTTTTCACAAGCTTGAAAAAAAGAAGGTTATTTAGCTTCTCTTGTCTCGCAGATAAGGTCATGTAATTTAGCTATGTCCTGTATTATGTAGCAGGTATTTTTGCAAATCTATAGAAATAGATCAATGAATAATTAATTTGCCAACTAATTTCTGGAACATTCTGGCATAGTACGTGTATTATGAATCTTTAAATTAGTATTATGCAAGTCAATCTGATAACTCTGATATTAGAATAGAACAAGAATGGAAATTATGTTAGTAATTTACAGATCTGATCCTATAATATGTAACAGGTACTATAGCATCATCTATTCTACATAATAAAATTCCATTATGGGTTATTGGTAGATTTGTATAGAATACAAATAGGGAATTAAAATAATATATAATTATGCAAAAAATGTGTGCAATTCCTCCTTATACTAATTATTTCATGAATGAACAGATCATCAAACCCGAAATTAGTTTTTTTTTTAAATCTACAAATTAGATTTGTTAGTTGTAAGAAATAAACTATATAAATAAGCTAAGTATAAAGAATTTTGTTATGTAAAACTTATCTGTACTTGCTTCGCCAATATCATTATATCTTTTGCTAATCTCCAAAACCTTGCTCTTAATATTTTAAAGAAAATGAAACATGATGCGGTACAAAATATCAAAGTTACCAAATTGCCACCATGTAAAATATGTAATAAAAAAATTTTAACAGTTAACTTTGAATCATTTACAATATTTTTATGTAGTCATATGTGTTATAGAAAATGTATTGAAAAAAATTTTTTACTTACGAAAAAAAACAAATGCTCTTTTTTTGATTATAACAAAACTGTTGATCTAGTAATATCTGAATAAAGGTTTTCTGAATCATCTCAATCTAGTAGAACTTTGGCTATTGCAGATATGCTAGGTGATAATCTTGGATTGGGTTTTCTAATGAATGTATTACCATTATTACCCTTACTTAATAAGACTACCTAGAAAAAATATACTAGAGAATTATTCAGATCTACTGAAAAATCGTCTAGCAAAAAAGGGAAAAAAACTGGTAGAAAGAAGATATCAAGCACAATAAAACAACTTATCGAAGAATTATTAACTGATATTCTTGATGGTAGTAAAAGTTTAGAAGAAAGAAGTGAAAGTATAAATAACTTTTTACAACTCTCTGAAAGAATTGATCATACTGAAACTAAAAACAAAGAAGCATCTCAGGGTCTTATTTTCAGTTATTTTAATTTTGGAAAAGTCGTATTTAAACAATACAAGGAATTAAAACCCAAGTTTGGCAAAGATGGATCTGAAGTGATAGTTAAAAAAGAGGTTAAAGTGGTGATTCCTGAGACAAAATGCTCTGATGAAGCTTTGCAAAAAAGGACAGAGAGATCCGAAAAAATTTACAAGCTTTTTAATAGCATTGGAAAAGAAAAAATAACCCAGATTAAATCTATCCCCCCATCATTTATCTTAAATTTAACTGTGGATAAAACCAAATATGTAATGGCTGAAATCTTAATGCATAAGGTTTGATGAGCTCGGACGCTTCTTCAAAAATAGATTTTTCGAGAGAAAACAGATAATCATAGACTTGAAAGAAAAGCTGAAAAATATTTTTATTTTTTTTTGAATCTAGTAAGAAAAAAGGCCTCAGCCATCATTTTTATTTGTGTAATATGCAATAAATAATTTCGTAAAATATGTGAAATATTGTGCTATAAATTATCACTTGACATACATGATTCATTTATTCTTCTGCACAGTTTGACGAGCTTGGACAAGCTTGTTCAGACTCTACCATCAAAAAAAAATAATCTAATCATAAATGCACAGTTATTTTGGGAGATAAATTTAACTTGAGCTTATATGCAGGAAAATATAGGTTTCAGGTAATAAATTTAACCGGATGCTGATCCAGCTTCTGCTCAATTTTGACGAGCTCGGACAAGCTTGTCCAGACTCTACCATA